ACCATCTGTTACCATACAGTGTTACTACTGTATTACTGACTATATTCCCTATGCTGTACATTTGCAGTCCGTGATTTATCTGTTTTATAATGAAAATTGTAATCCCCTTCACCTTTTCAACTCATCCCCTTAACCTTTCTCTCCTCTGGAGAAACTATGAGTTTGTTCTCTGTACCTATGAGTTTGTTCCTGTTTTGTTTTTATAGATTCTACATATAAGTGAAATCAAATTGTATTTTGTCTTTCTCTGACTTACCTCGCTTGGTATAATACCCTCTCAGTCCATCCATGTTGTTTTAAATAGTTGACAAATACTTTTACCAGCCTAGTGTGTTTACTAGGTTGGTGCTCATGGGGGTAAACGGTGAGTTTGCAGTAAGCACTGAGGATGAAGGACTAACCCGGTGGCTCCTCAGGGGCCTGGGAGTTCATCCTGGCTTTGAAGACATGTGTGGATAATGTGATCATGAAAGATCTCATGGAATTTGAATTCTCTGGTTTATTTTCTTTATTTTTCCTGAAGTATCAAACGTGAATAGTCCTTGATAACTCTCCTCCAAAAGTTAACTCCATTTTCTCACTTAATCTCTAATACTACCTCCTACCCTCAGCTCACCCCAACACCCCTAAATGCTAATCTGTGTGCGCGCTCCCTCTTGTAAATGGTTGAGATGCCTTTAACCTATAAAGCATTGTACACCCCCAGTGAGCCCGACCTTTCTTAAGTACTGAATAGGAGTCCTCAGGTCAACCAACACCACATATAGAGGAGTGTGAAGGGCTGCTGTCATTAATTCTTGGGTCCTCCCCGCCCCCCTTTACATCCAAATGAGTGGTGACAGCATTCCAGTTTTTGTTCTGTTTAGAGAAATAAAGTTTGCAGTGGGACCCAAATTCTTCCTAATCCATTGAGACGTTTTGCTCTAAATACAGGTAAGTGTGTTGACAGACCAGGTGGAGGCGCAGGGAGAGAAGATTCGAGATTTGGAGTTTTGTCTTGAAGAGCACAGAGAGAAGTTGAACGCCACAGAGGAAATGCTGCAGCAGGTGTGTACGAAGCTGGCCCAGCGGGATTTTCCTGCGGAACTGTTTGAGGTGTTTCATTGTTGTGTTTGCTCTGATGGAGCAGTACATTTCCTAGTTCACTTACACTGGCCTATTTTAAGTAAAAACCTAGGGTAGCAGGCTCTCAAAATACATACACACAATAAAAATGTGCTCATGTAACTAGAATCTGAAATAAAATATTACTAGAATTACAGGTACTTATAATTATCTTCTTTATGCTTTCATATGGTTTCCTAACTCCCAACCAAGAGCATATTTATGTGATTAAGAAAAAAGATAAATACCACATATGACCTTTATTAGAAAAAATTTGTACACAGACACACATGATGCTCATATATGAAAGGACCTATAATATAATGGATAGAATACACACTGTAGCAAGGCTGCTTAGTTTTGAGTCCCTGCTCTGCCATTTCCATGCTGTGTGACTTTTGGCAAATTTTTAACCTCTCTGTTCCTCAGCTTCCTCATCTGTTGAGTTCCTCATCATGCATTAGCCTTATGACTTTCTACCTCATAAGGTTGTTTTGAGGCTCAGACCACTAAGTACATGTCAGAACAGTGCCTAGCACATGGCACACATATCATCCTCATCATCATCATCAGTGTTATCAGGCTTCATACTATATATAAGGTTTATATATGTGTGTATCTACGTAATATATCTCCCCAATAAGCAGACGTGTTTAGTGCTGCTCAATGAAGGTTAACTAAATTGTATCTATTTAGTAATTACTCATCAAATCCTCTATTTGACAGTTACTGCTTTGCAGGCATAAGTGAGACTCGTCCACATGTGGCTGTTTGTAATGAAACAATTTTTGAATGTATCTCTTAAATTCTAATAGGAGCTTCTGAGTAGGACATCCTTGGAAACTCAGAAGTTGGATCTGATGGCTGAGATATCTAACTTGAAGTTAAAACTGACGGCTGTCGAGAAAGACAGATTGGATTATGAAGATAGGTTCAGAGACACAGAGGTAAGCAGCACCCTCTCTCTTTACGTACATATACATACATGTGCGTACATATACATATGTATGCGTATATATGTATATATCACATACACATATTCCTAGAGCAAGTTGAAATTACTTGGAGGTGTGAGGGAGAGGCAGTTAATTACCTGTGCCCTCATTCATCTATGTTTCTTTTCTTTTTTTAATCTTAATTGTTGAAGGTATTACATATGTCCCTTTTTCCTCTAATTGTCCTCTCCCCCTTCCCCGCCCCCCAAACCTTCACCACCCACTGCCTGTGTGTCCTTGGGTTATGCATATATACATGTGAGTTCATTGGTGGATCCTTCTATGCTTCTTTTTAAGAATAATCCTTAATTAAGTTGACTTTTTATCATTAAATGCTAATGGCAGTTTTTATTTTCAGACATTTTAAAAAACATATTGTTACTGACTTCAGATAGGAAGGGAGATGGAAAGAGACAGAGAAACATCAATGATGAGAGAGAATCATTGGTCGGCTGCCTCCTGCACGCCCCACACTGAAGATCGAGCCTGCAACCCAGGCATGTGCCCTGACTGGGAATGGAACTATGACCTCCTGGTTCATAGGTCAACACTCAGCCACTAAACCATGCTGGCCGGGCTGGTTTTAGACTTTTGATATGAAATAGTAATCCTTTTATTAGCCTTTAGAAGTACTTGTGACTTTAGGCTTTTGGAGCTTGTATCTTTCTGTTTGTCCATTCTCTGTCCATTTGTACTGGTTTTCTTCATTGTGGAAATTATGGGTTTAAGTGCATGATTTTACTGTTTATTTAGCTATTATTTAGGCACACTGATTATTATATAATAAGATTTTTAAGTATATATAGAAGACATGCTTTCATTATATAATCATAAAAATCACAACTCTTTAGAGGTCATTTAATTTGGCCTTCTACTTTTGGTCTATTCCACACATAAATCATTCCAATGAAGTAAAGTTCACTATTCTTTTGTGAAATTCAGGGTAGACTTTACTACTTGAAGTACCCATTTTTGTAGCCAAACATACTCATTTGTGCCATTTTATTGTTAATCCAGGTCTTCTAATTTATTTATTTGCTTATTGCTTTGTTGGGGAGGAAGGCATATCCATTTGAAATTTATTAGTTTGAAAAGAAATATTAAAGGCTATGGAAAGTCCTTCTCTGCTAGGGCCAGCTCTTCTTTTTCCTCTATTTTGTTTCCTCAGTTGGGGTATGGAGAGTTGTCACACTGGATTATTTAAAAGGGTACCAAGGAGGAGAGAGGAGTAGAAATCATTTACTTCTTCCCCCTCCCCCATCTTCATTTTAAACATTTATTTCATGCCAACTAAATGCCATCATGATATGAGGTACTACCTTATACATATATTAATCACTGTATGAAAGCCCTTCATAGATTTGAATTGAAAGAGGTTTGTTTCATTGCCTTTTTCAAAAGCAAAATGTCTGTCACAGGTCTAACGATGACGGGAAGGCTTGTCACACGTCTTCCTCGGGAACAAAGGAAATCCCTAACTTGGTGCATGTCTTGTCCGTAGAGCTTTTTGTCAATCACCTGTAGGAGCATGTTTCTCATTTGATTGAGACTGGGGCTCTTAGGAAGTTACCCAATTTCTGTAACGTTGCTCTTGTGCTTTTTTTAAAAAAAGAAACAGTTTTCCTTCTGCCATTCATAACACAATAGTAGAATTCAGTCCGCAGGTGGCATGCCATGGAGCTAACCCTGCTGCAGGGGAAGAAGTGACACTGTTTGGGGATCGAGAGATGGCCTCCTGTGTTGCATACACAGCGTTTAGGGGATGTCTTAACCTGTGTGACTGGGTAATTTGGATACGAAATGTTAACGAAACATCAGGACTAACTTGAAGTAGATGTTGCATGATTTTTTGGTAAGACCCCAGAGCAGTACTTACATCTCTTGAGTGCGTCTGCATTTTTATAAAACTTTCCCCCCGGTGCTGCATTCTCAATCGTGTGCGAAGTGATCCTGTCATCAACTTCCAGGAAACTCGATCCCTGAAAATTTTCAATAAATATTTAACACTATTGATAAAATGTAGGGTGAACATTCCCAGAGATTATGGGATGTTTGATAAGCTTTGTTATATATGAACATAATTAAAATAGACGTCAAAATTAAAACTGAATTGAGTATGCTCATTTCCCTATTACAGTTCCCTTGATAAAAATAAAATGTTTCCCTGGCTGTTTCAGAAATCCAAAATTCTTTAACTTTGTCTTAGAAGTTTGGATTCCTTGGAGATTAAGTTCTAAGAATATATTGGAATGGGAAAGAAGTACAGGTACTTCCACAGACTGGGGGTAAAAGTCCTAAAACCTTGAAGATTGAGGCTGTGCCTGTTGGAGGAATTGCTGACAGATGGTTAACATCGTTCCACAGTGCCCCCTTCTGGTAACAGCACAGATGTCAGAAACTGAATTTTTGTGGAAGTCCAAAGGAGTTCTTTAGAAGGGAAAAGGGGAAGGTAACAGGGATTTTCTTCTTAAAAAGGACTGAACTTCTGATAAGATGTTAGTTGAAAATCATTTGTATATCACATTCTAAAGTTTCATATTAAGGAGCTAATTTCAGATTTTTCCAGCTTGAGTTATCATGGGAAGATAAATGGCCAGTGTTGCCACAAAGGGTAATTGGGTAGTTTTGTGTTTGTTTGTTTTCAATAGAAAAATGGTGTCAGTTTATAATTCTATTTTCTTCCATTGTTTCTTCTTCTTCTAAATGAAGTGGTAAATGCATACAATACCTAACAGGAATTCAAAGCTGTTTCTTCACAATGAGAAAAGTGGGTAAATATATATATATAGTAAACAGACCAGATCAATGAGGGAATATCACTGAGAACTCATATTATGCAAGGATGATTGATAAATGGGAGATAATAAATGGGAGAAACTGACTTTTTTCTTAACTTGAATTCTGAGTTTATAGGTTAGGAATCACAAACTAAAATGTTATTAAATGATGTCAAATAGTTTTTGACCTCATTCACAAAAGGAGAAAACAGACACCCTTTTATTGAAACATTGTATTAATAATATTAATAAGTAATTATTATATGATAATGCTGGGTAATACTTTTCCCCATTTTACAAGAAAGGCTTTAAAACAGGAACAATTTAAAAGCCTGTGAGTTTTCTGGAAAGTGTATTTGATTGTAGCATCCTTTTTCCTAGCCTTTGTGAAGTTATACTTAAAAGTTTAGAGTAATTCCTCGTTAACTAAGTTTTCCTTCTTATAGCACTGTTCTATTTTTTTAAAAAATTGTTTTTATTGATTTCAGAGAGAGGAAGGAGAGGGAGAGAGAGCTGGAAACATCTGTGAGAGAGAAACACCCATCAGCTGCCTCCTGCACACCCCGCACTGGGGATCAAGCCCACAACCTGGACCTGTGCCCTGACCAGGAATCAAACCTGTGGCCTCCTGGTGCATGGGACGATGCTCAACCAACTGAGCCACAAAGGCTGGGCTATTTTTTTGTATGGCATTCTTGTATAATTCTGCTCTGTCATCCATGAATTTGTGGCTCAGGAATAAATGTCTCGTAAAGGAGAGGAACAAAAATGCATTAACTATAGGCGGGGCGTTTGTGGCTTATGGTAAAAAAAATAATCTCCTTCAGAGTATTTGAGCCCTTTTTTGGGAGGGGGAGGAAGAGTTTCTATTTAGCATTCTCATTTAATTGTCCTACTCTCTGGGCTCTGAACAAAAAAGTATATCAGTATTTCTCACAATATTTATCCAAATTTGACAAGCATATAAGTTTTTTATAAAGGTGGCAGTAGAAAAGGTATCTGATTATACTGTATTTGTATTATGAAAACATTAGGATTGCTATCTTTTTTATTTTACAAATATAAAAATCCATTATGATATTGAATATATTTTTAAATGACAGGGCCCTCATCCATCGTCCAGTTGAGAATCTTTGGTTTAAAGGTTTTAAATTTCACTCCATACTCCCAAATGGGTTGATGAATGGTCTGTACTTTATAGACAAATGAAGAAATGATAAAAATATTTTTATAAGCATCCAGCATATCCCTGGAAATACCCTAAAAAGCAATTGGTTTTACTAAAGAAAATTTCTCTGGTTTATTTTAAAAGTGAAAGTTTATATAGTGAATTTTAGTCTAGAAATATCTGATCAATGATAGTAAGGTATTAACTGCCTCTTAATAAACATTAGTAACCTTTATTTTCATGATCTCATCATTGTAAGACCGAAGAATTAGAAATTTAAAACAGGATTTTAAATGGAAAGATAGTTCTCAAGGAGGAACACTGTTTTTATTTCTCTGATCTAAGGGATTGTGGATTTAAGATTCCCAAGCTGCCATTTCGGTATGTTGAAGTGTATTACCACTTTCTTAATGTATTTCCTCATTTCTTTCTGGACAGGGGCTGATGCAGGAGATCAATGACTTGAGGTTGAGAATCAGTGAAATGGACAGTGAAAGGCTTCAGTACGAAAAAAAGCTGAAATCAACCAAAGTAAGTTTTCTCAATGACAACAATTTTTAAACAAATGGCTCCACTGCTTATCTATGATCATTAATATAGATGCAATATGTTTTCTACTCAGTATATGACAAAGAAGGTATTTTACAAGTGAACTTTTTCTCTGAGCTGGAGACCTTCTTGATTTAAGCACTATTCTGAATAAAAACCAGGGCTTAACTAATCTGATCGAACATATTACCTGTCATTTCTCTTAATTCTCTAACCTCCTGTGTAAACTGATACTGTTTTCTTGGTTATTTAGCTTATCTCTTTCTATCTGTAGTTTTCTTTTACTCATCTGTCTCTCTACCAGTCCTTAATGGCCAAAGTTTCTAGCATGAAAATCAAGGTGGGTCAGATGCAGTATGAAAAGCAGCGGATGGAACAAAAATGGGAGTCGCTGAAGGTGCGGTAGACATTGGGGAATGTGGGTCCATGGCTTGTTGCTTTCTGGCTTGTGTTGCTTTGCTGTGATGGTGTTTTTAGTGGTGTGTGCATTTATTTTGTCTGTGTGCCACCTATTTTTTTTTAAAAAAAATATGTTTAAAGCTAATTGAAGGGACAGTGTGATCCTTAATTTGTTTTTAGAAACCTATGAAATAATTAGTAAAAAATAATAAGCAGGTAAATGGAAGTGTTTGTTTGTAAACGAAATCTCACTCTGTTAGGCTATCTGAGATCCAGGCTTGGCAAAATAATTGTAACAAGTTCACCTGTGAAAGAATTCTTTATGTACTAATAGTAGACATTGCGTTTTCTCTTTGGGATTTTCTGGAAGGTAAATGTATTCGGCAGTTAACTATCCTGGCAGCAAATGGAAATTACTGCCGAGAATAAGCACAGTAAGAACAGTGGCACTTCTGGCCAGTGCTTCTGCAAATTTCTTGTGCTTGATATTCACTCCTTCCATAAGTAAAAACTTCTTAGCTTCATTGGAGAGTTACACCTTCTCATAGTACTAAATGTAATCCATATCTTTAGAAAAGACCGAAAATAAAATGTTTGAAAATAAAATTATTTTATGAATATAAAATTAAAAATAAAGGTGCATTTATAAGCATCACCTAGGATTTTTTCAGTGTTACATACAGCCAGCAACTGAATTTGCTAAAACTCTTTACCAAAAGGAAACTGAAAGTTAAAACATTAGTAAATAGGTAGAACATTGAACATGGCATCCTTAATAGTCATGTAGTTTTACAAAAGAAGAATTAAAATCTGTTTTCTAAATCTTTCTTTCTTTCTTTCTTTCTTTTCATTGTTGTAGAAGATTCTGTTCTGTTATCGTAGTAATGAGGATAAATATTCAGTCCCAAGATTTGGCTAAAGTTGTGCATCACCTGCTACTTTACCCACTAAGTAGGCTCTACCTTGTCCAGGGAACCTAAGTGCCATCTTGAAATGCTGAATAAATGTCAAGCAAGTCTTAATATCTATTTTCCAATTTGCATTTTATTTTGCTTTTACGATACTAAGCATCTATTTTTTTTATTAGCTTGGTCAGATTTTTTATTTAACATAACATATACCACCTTAGGGCTACATTAGTCCTACTTACACTTTAAAAGATTTCTTTTTTAATTTGTTCACAAAGAAACTTGAAATAATTATACCACAATTATTATAAATTGGCTTTTAATAATTGCCTTGCTTTTTGTTTATCATCACCACTGTCTGATTTCTGAAGTTTGCATCTTTGCATCTAAATCACTAATTATTGGCTTAAGAACATACTCTCTGAATATTCTCTTTTATTCATAAGCTACTCTTTTTAAATGAATGGTCATTTGTAGGATGAACTGGCATCTTTAAAAGAACAACTGGAAGAGAAAGAATCTGAAGTGAAACGGCTACAAGAAAAATTGTTTTGCAAGATGAAAGGAGAAGGGATAGAAATTTTTGACCGAGGTAGGAATATGTATTTAATATTGGTTATCTTCTTTTGTTAAAAACTTCTAAGATCTGAAAATAAAATCTGATGTTATTTGATGTGTAGTTTTAGCATCAAAGAAAAGAATAGCAGGAGCCATCTAGCCGAGGGCCACAGGGAATGCTCCGAGGCTCTTTCCTGTGCTCAGGGAGCCCTAAGCTTCCTCGCCCGCAGCTGGAGAAGGGCAGCTCTGGACCCTACTGGGTGTTTCGTTGAGATGACTAAATTGTAAATTACCACCAGGAGAGAGTTTTTGTCCAAATTGCAAAATAAACAAGTGTCAAAAAGAAGGAAAAGGAACCATTACGATGTCCCAAGACTATTTTCCTCTAAACTGAACTTGAGACAACAGAAAGACATGTAGAAACCTTGTCTGCCCTGTTGAGAGAAGAGAAGAAAAGGCTCTGTCTTTGGAAAACTCAATGAAAATTTCTTAACCTTCAAGAAAGCAAAAAATAGGCTAATTTCTTTTTGGAAAAGTGCATGAATTTATCCAAAAATTGTTTTCATAATTGAGGAGGTTTGTCCTAGATATTGTGTGGACTGTAATTTTTAATACTGTAGCTTCTACTTGGTAGAAAATACTGTGAATGCAATGTGTTTTTCTGAATTATATTTGGAAACATAAATGCATGTAACATCTGACGACACTATATCCAATTTAACCTCTCTTTGTTATTACAAATGATGAGTGTGGCAAAAGCAACTTCTGATTTGTTGGAAACAGAACAAATTTCACTTAGCTTAGCTTTGGTACATTTTTACCTCTTATGTGAACACTAGTATCGTTATTGTCTATTCAATGAGGAGCTTGAATTAGATGACCTGTAAAGTCTTCTTGACTCTGGAATATCCTGGCTTTATATACCCAAAGGTATCACAGTTCTCTATCCATCAGGAAACTTAACTCATCAAACATTCAGAAAAATGGAATTGTATGTTTGGAAAGGACATTCACAAACAAGTCACGCTTTTAGGATTTTAAGATAAAAATGGAATCCTAGGACTTGTAGCCTAGAGGGTATGTTAGGATAGTGCTACCCAAAGTCCAGTCCAAGGACTGGTGCCAGCCTGTGAACTGCTTGCTACCAGTGCACCACCAAGGACATATAGGGACTGAGAGCAAGTGGTTAGAAACGTCACAGCAATATGGTGTTGACATAACATCTAACTGCATGATCAGTGGACTCACATGGAGCAAGAGCTACGCCACTTCAGTGTTATTGAACTTGAGTGGTGAGTTGAATGTGACCGAAACAATGTACTGGTCATGTTCAGGAGGTCCAATATCGGGCTGTAATGGAAATGTGAAAAACGAGCAAGGCAACATTAACCAGCTATTCACCACACACTGTGTCAGGAGCGCTGTACTCCATCGGCCCAATTTCATGGTGAGAAAGTCAAGGTTCAGAAAGTTAACGTAACAGAGGTAGTAACTCAACGTTAGGTCTTCTGGATTAATTACATCAGATTCTCTTTTTAACTGCACACGGAGCATTATGTAGTATAACACCAGCCCTGACGTCACAAAATAGTGTTTAATATTCAGTCTTTATGAGTTTAGAGTCTCTTTATTTTAGGTAAAAGGAGACAATAATCGTGCTTTTAAAATATTATTTACTGTTGTAATGTATGCTAACTTCCAATTCAATGGGTTTTCCTGCACAGATGAAAATTTTAAAAAGAAGCTCAAAGACAAAAGTAAGGTTTTTGGTGTATTTCCATCAGCCTTTACATTCACTGAAAGTAATACTTGGACTGTTCTTTGCATGTGTTTTTAAAACATTTCTCTCACCAAAAATATGAAATTGCTTCATCGATAAGCCCTCCATTTCTTTGAAGCATACAAAATAGAGGGTAAACAAAAAATAAAAACGAGGAAAAGGTCCCTTAGCAGATTTTATCTGATTCAGCTCTTTTGCTCCATAGGACACAGCAGGGCACCCAGAGTGGTGGAGGTGAGAAAGCATTTTCTCTGGGGTCCAGGACATGCAGGGTCAGAGAAGGAAATAATGTTTACCCTCTTATGAAAACCTGTTTTTGAGGTTTGTCATAGTTGAAAGATCGTTTTGAACTTTGCTTTTCAATGTTTTGTAGCCCACTTTTTCGCTGAGATCTACTTTAGGAGGTTTTTTAAACACACCCTCTTAGTGTTTTGAAAGAGCGTGTCATTATTTAATTGCATTGAATAACCCAGGATGTTTCATGGAGCCTGGATTATTTAAGGCAGCATAAAGATAAATCTTAACGGGCTCTCTCCTCCAGACATTGAATTCTTAAGTCAAGGGAATTTGCCTTTTAAAAAAAAAGGCAAAGAAAAGAACGGCAATTCGTATAAAATATACCTTAATTGAAAATAGTTATATCAGCACTGAACGACCCATCACTGTTTTAAAAAGTACCTTTAGTCGTTTAGTTTGTTTGTTTGTTTGTTTGTTTGTTTTCAGAAAAGGTGGAAATCTTAGCTGAATTTTTTTTCTCTGTTTCAATTTTTTTTACTTTGTGATTTCATTCTAGGTTGACTTTTGATCTTTAGACTATTTGCTTTTTAGTATTAAAGTAACATGCTTTTGTATTTGAATATCAAATTTTAAGTGAAATTAACATTCGTCTCACTCTGGCCTTTATGTTTTCAAATAGCATTTGGAAATGAGGTTTATAGATGAAGCAAAGTACTTAAGATCCTTCTGTATGGAACCTACAGCTTAGCATGACTACTCGTGTAAATATCGCATCCCATCAGGCTCTTATCATTTGTGTCTCCATCTTGGTTATAACTGAGTATCATTTTGTCTGCGTTTGTCCTGTGCACTTTGTTTATTGCTTTGGCCCACTGCTTTTTTGAAAACTCTGTGTTTTTTATTGTTAGCACTGACATTTCATTGTTCTCTTGAAGATTTTGTTGTTGCTTTGAGAGAGGGTCGTTAGCTCTCACTTACCCTGTGACTATTCAGGCGAGATAGAAGGTGTTCATTTTTCAGATTTTCCCTAAAAGACAATATGTATGGTAAATGTGCCCTTTTAAAAACAAACAAATAAAACAAATCAGTAACATCTTTACCTTAAAACATTTCAATCTGAAGAGTCGGTATCTTCTCATTACTGTCACACACGTTAACTAAACTGACTTCTGATTTGATGTTGTGATATTTCCAGATATTGAAGTACAAAAAATGAAAAAGGCTGTGGAGTCTTTGATGGCAGCAAATGAAGAAAAGGTATCTAGATGAAATTTAAATATTTATTTAGATGTATAATAGCACCATTTTGATCATTCTGTGTATTCTCTTGAGATATTGCAGTTTGAAAGAACACACCCTATGCACTACTGACATTGAGGGGAAGCCTTCTCCCTTCCTGCCCGAGTGTGTCCACTGTCAGGGGGTCACACTGGTTACTGTGGCCGAGCATAGGAATGGAGACCAGCAGCACTGGCTCCACTGAGAATTCTCTCTCTCCTCCCTGCGTGAATTCAGAAAATGCTTGACCTATCAACTCCGGGCGAATGTGTGAACTCCAAACAACCTTAGCTTCGTGGTCATGTCCCTTTTTTTCTCCTTCATACTGCTGACCTCTTTCACATTGGGGATTGTCTCTGTTCTCCTGAGTAGTGAGATACCAGAAAAGAGAGGCACAGGCACCATGGAATCAATATGGCCCTAGGCTCTGTTTTAGCTGTGGTGGCCCAATGCCATGTCTCCAGAGCTTATTTCTTCTGATTGTTCCTCTCCACTTCATCCTGCTAAGAGCAGGGATGCAGTTACTCTACTAAAGAAATGCGTTTCTTCATGGCTTTCCTGACCCTCCGGCCAGCAGGCAGCAGCGGTTGGGTCCAGCTCCTGTCATCAGAATTGCACCCTTCTTGTGCCCCTAAATCAGTGGTTCTCAAATTTCTGGCCCTTTAAATACAGTTCCTCATGTTGTGACCCAACCATAAAATTGTTTTTGATGCTACTTCATAACTATAATGTTGCTACTGTTATGAATTGTAATGTAAATATCTGATATGCAGGATGGTCTTAGGCGACCCCTGTGAAAGGGTTGTTCGACCCCCAAAGGGGTCGCGACCCACAGGTTGAGAACCGCTGCCCTAAATAAATAGAACAAGGAAGCATTTTCCTAAGAAAAGAGTAATTTCAAGAGAGTGAAAATCAAGCCATGCCAAAAAACTTTCTCTTGGACTTTTTCTAATTGATCATAAGTTCCTTTTTCTAATTCATGCCTACTCTGTTTTACTTGTTGATTTATCTTTGCCTTTCATTCTCTTCATTTGTTCTTTACTCCTTGGAAATAAACTCATTGTCTTACCCACCCAACCAGATATATATATAGATTCTTTTGGCTAGTCTTTCCTACTATTGAATAAAAATAGAAGTCCTTAGCAAGCTGCACGCAGAGCTTTTTTTTTTTTTTTTTTTTAAAGAAAATCACTAAAATTCATTTTGTTTTAATTTTTCTCCCTCAAAATGCAACAGTAACAAAACTCCCAATGTTGAATGAGGGCTCCAGGATGCTCAAACTGCTATAGCTGCACCAAGAGTGACATAACTTCTTGGTAGTTTCAGAAGGCTTCAAAGAGGACATATTTGAGCAAATTCTGAAGAATAGCAAGAGTTGCTCATCAGGAAAAGGAAGGCTTCTAAGCAAAGCATCCATGAGTGAAACCATGTTTCAAAATCAAGGCTTGAAACAGCCCTGTGCATGCTGGGAAAGTTCTGGAACATGAGATATAGGTGAAGGGTGTATAAGACTAACAAAAGAGCTACAGTGAATAATAGGCAACCTTGTATGCTAGGCTAATGATCTGGGACCTTAGGTTGTAGGTGTTGGGCAGTGACATAATTAAATTGCCATTTGGAAGCTAACTCTGGTATCAGAACAGAGGCAGGAATAAGGGAGGGCGAGTAAAGATTGAACAATTAAGCTAGATGAGAAATGGAGAGGTTGAAGTAAGGCAATGACAGTGAAGTGGTAAGAAGGGGAAGATATTTTAGAGATATTTGCAGGTTGACAAAATTTAAAAATCTTTGGATTTTAGAGTTTCTGATTTGATCAATGGGGTAAATGATGGTGCCCTCCACGAGTTAAGGACATCCAAGCAAAGCTGAAGTACTAGGGGCAGATAATGAGATTCATTTTGGATACATTCTATTTGATGTGTTCATGGGACATCTAAAAGGAGATTTCTCATAGAAAGTTGAAAATAAATCTAAATTTTAGGATTTGTATAGAATTATAGATTAGTAGGCAGTGAATCTCATCAATGTTAGGAGAAATATATAATTAGTTGTGGATGATGGGAACTAAACTATGGTTAATGTATTCGTTAGCTTTGGCTCTGGGACAAATCACTTTTATTATTTTTCTGATACTTCTGTGGGTTAGCTAGGTGGTTCTTCTGGTCTGGTCTGGCTTAGCTGATCTCTATGGTTAGCCAGTGTCTGGGAGAGGGCTGGATGGTGAAGGGTGGTGTGACTCACGTGTCTGTTGATTGACCAGTCTTGGTCTAGGTTGGCCCAGCTGAGATATCTCTTCTCTAAATGGTCTCTCTTCTTCCAGGAGACTATGCTTCTACACATAGTGGCCTTAGAGCAGCAGGAGAGGGCAAGCCTCAAAGTTAAAATACTTTTCAAGCCTTTGCTTAAACCACATTTATTGATATCTTATTTGCCAAAGTGGGTCACATGGCCAAGCCCACACTCAGTGTGGGAGGAGCTAGAGAGCTCACTTTTATAACCCACCACAGTTAAGGGCATGGGGAAAAGAGAAGAGGGTAAAGGACGAAACCGTAAGGCTCTATATTTTATTGGCTGGGTTGGGTAATAGCGGGGTTATAGAAGTGGAATATCTATCTCATCAATGGATTAAGAAATCAAAATAGAAGACAAGCAATGTCAATCAAGTGCCAACTAGAGGTCAAATTAGAGAAAATATAAAAGTGTTCATTGTTTTTAGTAAATAGCTCTCTGATGACTAATTGAAAGGCATGTTTTGAGAAGGGAAAAGCCAGGTGGCCATGAGTGACAGCTGATAAACACAGCAGGTGTAGATCTGTTTTTCAAGACTTGGCATATAAGTTAGAGAGGAAAGTAATTAAAGTTGATTTTTTTTCTTGTTTTCTTTTTCTTTTTTTTTTTTGTATCTTACTACCTTGTTTTGTTTTTGTTTTTTAAAGATGGCAGCTGAGTGATAGGATCTCTAAATTTAGAGGTACTTTTTCTATATCTCTGATATATGTAGGAAAGATGTTCTAGATATTACTAGTTTTACTAAAGTTTAGAAATATTCTTTAAATAATGTAAATAACTCATGTCTACTTATCTTTGTGTTGCAATTACTTTTACCATTTTAAAATCATAGCATTAGAAGATAATTTATTTTATTAATAGGATCGGAAAATAGAAGATCTTCGACAATGCCTGAACAGGTACAAGAAAATGCAAGATATGGTGTTACTGGCCCAAGGTAAAAAAGGTACTGTAGCTCTAAATGTTTTCTACTTAACTTGATTTTTAAGTGGCCATAATCTTTTATATTTGGCCTCCATTTCTTTTATGAAACATACCCATTATCTCTAATTAGATAGTTCCTTCATCCATTCAGTGATATTGTTCAGCATCTGTTCTCTCCTGAAAGCATGTAGGCTAAAGAGCATACTGTAGATTGGTTGGCCAGGGAGAGCCTCTCTAAGGAGTCCATTAGATAGCGTTCCAGAAAGAGAGTACAACAGCACATGCAAGAACTTTTTGAGTGGGGATGGGGGGACGGTTAGGGAGGAGTTGGTGTGTTTAAGAAGTAAAAGACCAGTATAACTGGAAGGTAGTGATTAGGAGAAAGAGTGAGATAGGATTATTAGAGGTGAGTACCAACCAGATCATACAGGTGGGGAGTTTTCCCTCTTACTTGTCCCCTAGGGATCCACTGAAGGGTCTTAACAAGTCAATGATAAATCTTTGTAACAAATAGACCATAGTGGGAGGGAGCAGTGTTGGAAGGAAGGTAAGCTATTTAAGAGACCGTGGCAGTATTCCAAGTGGAAAGATCTGATGGTACTGACTGGAAATATATTTTGGTGTTGATGTGTTGAATGAGTGGAGAAGCATGAAGAAGAGATAGAATTAAGAAAGACATCTGATTAATGCAACTGGCTGGATGATAGTTCCATTTTCCAAGATAGAGAAACCTAGAGAAGGAACATTGGCATGGTTAAGGGGCATCATGTTCAATTTTGAAAATGTTAAATTCAAAGAAAACACACACACACACAAACCCTGTAAGACATCTAAGTAAAGATAGTTATGCAGTTTGTTGTATTTATTATTACTTTATCGGTTGTCCTCAAATGTGTAAAACTTTTGGAGTCATTCAAAACAAACAAAAATGTTAAGGACTTGAAAAGTTCTCTTGTTTATTATCAATGCATAGATGGGGTTATTTGCTCTAAAAATAAGCACTGGAGATTAGCAAGTCTTTTGGAAGACACTTGTGGTTGCTTTTTCCCATTATGTTCTTTCTGCTTTAAAATGTGTGGAATAAAAGGATCCTTTTGGGGGATCAAAAGAGTGTTATCTCTTTTTCTTCTCTTTCTATGTTTTTCTTTTTTCTTTAGGAGTTTGGTAGTGATGAAAACGGAGTTGTTTAAATGGTGACTCTTTTGGTACCACTGGTATTTCTCAGCTTGGCTATTTCTGAACTGAAATTTGTGTAAAGCCTCCAAATTTTGAAACGAAAGTACAGGAGAGTTGTTGAACTGAATTCACTTTTTTTAAAAAAAGATATTTTTTATTGATTTCAGAGAGGAAGGGAGAGGGAGAGAAACATCAATGAGGAGAGAGATTCATTGATTGACTGACTCCTGCAGGCCCCACACTGGGGATCAAGCCCGCAACCCAGGCATATGCCCTGACCGGAAATCGAACCGTGACATCGTGGTTCATAGGCAGATGCTCAACCACTGAGCCACGCCAGCCAGGCTGAATTCACTTTTTAATTTTAATCTTGTGAGTCTATCATTGCCCCTGTTGACACCACTATCAGTTAATATCTCTATTAATACCACTGCTGGGCACTCACCCCGGGGCCTCAGATGCTACCAGTGGAAAGTGTTGTTTCCTAGGTCCTGTGTTTTTTCAAGTGATTCCAGAAGCTGACTCTTTGATTTTTTTTTTTTTTGAGTATCAGAAAAATTTTTACATTTAATATATTTGGGATTCTTCTTCCAAAAGTGAACTATAAATGAAAATTTGCTGCTGGTCCTCTGTTTTCTTTGTCTTTTCCTAGGCCAAGAGGGTGACTATGACGACCTGCCCACTTCCGGTTCCATCTCCACTTTGCTGGATGTACAGGGTTTTGGGGAACTGGAGAAAGGTCTGTCATCCACGCCAGTGATGGGGTCTCCCAGTCGTGACCCACTGAACACAAGTGTTCCGGAAGAGGTATGTATAGACTCCCAATAGTCTCTTCCTGCTGGAGAGAGTGTGTCATTGAAAGTTAAAGTGCTGTAGACAGCACGAAAGACATGGGATTTTTTTCTCAGTTTGATACTGATGACTTTGTTTGCCCTGAAAGTTTTTGTGTCCTATAGGTTTTTATTTGAAATGTGTGTAGGTTTTTTTCTCCCCTTCTCTTTAATAAATAAATGCCCTGTGGAATGTCAAAATTGCTTATGTAATTCAGGAAAAATATAAGAATCCCTTGGGGAATAATGCCATCTTAAATACGGGATTCTAGTCTACATATTAAATAATAAGTAGGGAATAAATAAAGGGGGGATAAAGTGAGATTATATAGAGAAATTGATTTGCGTCATCTTTGATGGAGACACTGTAATATGAAGGATTGAAATTTTCCTCTGATTTCTTTAGATTTGGAAGAAGCAACTGGAGGGGAATAAAGTCTTAAACTCACTTATTTTACTTTCATATCAAATTGCCACTGATACCTTTCTCCATTATCTATTGCGCCCCACCCCAACACTTTGTGTCTTGAATGACAACATTTATTTTGCTGACGAATCTGCCCTTTGGCCCGGGCTCAGCTGGAACATCTGGTCTCTGCTCCACTTAGCAGCAGTGGGAGTGGCGCACAGGCTGGGGCTTGAGTCACCTGAAGGCCACCCATTCCTCTATCTGGTGGTTGAGGCTGGCTGTTGGCTGCGACTTCAGCTGAGGCCCTGGCTGGACCCACTGCATGTGACTGCTTGGCCTCCTCATAATACAGTGGCTGGTCCTGAAGATGAGCATCCCAAGAAGAGGACTAGGCAAATTCCTATCACTTTTTATGATGTTTCTCAGAAGTCATGTAGCATCTCTTCTCCTTAGTCATAGGCCCACCCAGATTCACGGAGAAGGAGTTATCAGTTACCTCTTGATGGACAAGTGGCAATATCACATTGTAAGAACATGTGAGATGGGATCTCTTGGTGCAACCATATTTGGAAAATAAATCTGTCCCTCACTCTCTGGCTACAACAGTTTATATCCCTCTCCCATGCACAGTGTACCCAACCCCTCTCCAAAGACCCCTTAGTTTCATTCCAATTAGGCATCAGCATCCCAGGAACTTGTCATCCAGACCAGGTCATGATGTACATGAAGCTCCTCAGGTGCATCTTCTTGGGAACAGCTTCTTGGGTACCACTCCATTCAGTTTAAGAACCAGGAACTTAAGGGACCAGCTCTCTGTCCCCGACACACCTGACATACAATTGTGGGATAGGTATAACATAACTGCTCCAGGCACTCTCATTTAAAAGAGGGACAACAGAGGGGACACAGGCATCACTAGTTCATAGCAATTCCAAAATCTAGCCAGGTGTGTGGTACCAGTTCCTTTGTTAGGACTCAGTCCTCTGGCCTCTTGGTTTTTCCTTCTGAGTCATCCTTCCTTTCCTACAAGAAGGGGATGTACTTGCAGGTAGTAGTTTTCTGTAAAAGTGTCCATATAGGTCCAAAGCTGCCTTTAATTTTTTCCTGTCTTTGTCCCTTTTAGTCCCTTTGGTACAGTATTTTAAACATTCAGAATTTCTTATGAGTCAATTTGTTATCCACTCCATTAGATAAAAGCATTATCTGATTAATGAGATACCTTCACAATAATCCTTCTCTACCTTAGGTTCCCTGTAAGGCTACTGTGGGATATCCCTTTATTTTTAGAGTTTAAGATCTGTTTTTAAGGGTCAGTGAGGCAGCACCCCCTTAAATCTTCCTAAGGTCTTAACAAAGACACACACGTCTTCATTTTAAGACTGTTTTCTTGACAGCCCCCTGAAACCATTTCTTAATCTATATATATAAAAGCCTAAGCAACTGTTTGACCAGTAGCTATGATGCGCACTGACCACTAGGAGGCAGATGCTTCATCTGGTAGGTTAGCTTGCTGCTGGGGTCCAGCTGATTGGGACTGGGCGAGATGGGCTGGACATGCCCTGGAGCCCTGCTGCGGTCCCTCCCTGGTCCTAATTGTGCACCAGTGCGAGGGACACACACACACACACACAGTGCACAAATCCATGCATCGGGCCTCTAGTTTTAGTATGATGTGCTGTCTGGAGAGACTGGGAATGGGAAAAAGTTTTATTTTTTAACAAAACAACCTTAGGTCCCTTATATTTAACAGTTCCTTCTTTGCTCATCTCAGTAAGTAATTAGAAGAAACCAAATGGCATCTTTACTTTTTATATCTGTTGCTGATAATTACATAATTAGAAGATGAAATTTGAATTGAATGAAAATGAATTCAGGGAGACAACAATTAGCATTTCTCTTAAATATAAGAGAGGGCTAAAATATGCCATTAGCAAGGAATTAGTAGTGGGTGGATTGGTGGTAAAAGGTACAAATTTCCAGTTATAAGCTAAATATAACTACTGGGAATGTAATGTACAATCATATGACTGTAATTAACACTGATGTATGGTATGTTTGAAAGTTACTAAGAGAGTACATCCTAAAAGTTTTAATGACAAGGGAAAACAAAAACATTTTCTTCCCTTTTTTTAGTCTCGGAGGTGATGGGCGTTAACTAAACTTATTGTGGTAATCATTTCACAATATAAATCAGTCAAGTCATTATGCCGTAAACCTGAAACTTATACAGTGCTGTATGTCAATTATATGTCAATAGAATTGGGAAAAAAGGGGACTCGCTAAGGAATAAGAAATGTTTTAGAGGGAAAAGGTCCCTAATTGTTAAATATATATTTACAGCTTAACCCTTGGAGTGCCAACCAATATCCTAGGAACTATGCTAAAATTGCCAAGGCATTTTTGCTGATTTTACAGCAGTTTAGGAAAAAAATTATGAATTGCAAGTAAATGAAGTTACATATTCAGAAACTTAAGGAAACCTTCACTACATTGATATTGATTTAGCAATATCATCATCACTAATAAAAGCAGACTTAGATCTGGACGCCATTTCGAAGCTTTGATAGTGCTCCCGGCACTTTTGGCAAAAGACAGGCGGAGCATGATCGCGCTCCCTGGCACTCCAGGGGTTAAGGGAAAGTTACACTCAACAGCCATTGAGTGAGCTATATTTATAGAGACAGGATGCTGCTATATGTAGGATGCACCCAAATAATCTCATATCCTTAAAAAAGTCTTTGCTGGGTGCATTGCAATTTTTTTCTTTTGTTTGGGTTTTTTTGGGGGTGGGGGTGTTAAACAATAATTTATTTATTTTTAGAGAGAGAGGAAAGGAGAAAAGAGAAACATACAGGCAAGAGTGTAACTTTGATCAACTGATTCCTGCACACCCCCTACCAGGGATGGAGCTTGAAACCCAGGGAATGTGCCCTTACCAGGAATCTAACTGACAACCTTTTGGTGCATGGGATGACGCTCAACCAAATGAGCCACACTGGCCAGGGCCAAGCATTTTAGTTTTAATGAGAGATTTTGAGTTTGGAGCAAGAATGATTTGATGAGGATTGAAGGCGTTCAGCCACATCTATCTAGATATAGATATACATATACATATACATATACATATACATATACATATACATATACATATACATATACATATAAAAGGCTAATATGCTAAGTGTTCAACCATCCGACTAGTCGCTATAATGTGCACTAACCACCAGAGGGCAGACGCTCAACGCTGGAGCAGCCAAGCAGCAGTGACTTGGCAGCGGTGGTTCTCAAGTGACGCACCCCAAAACTAGAAAGAAGAGAGCCCGATTCCTCACGGGGTCACACTGGGGCACTGTCGGCCCCAAATCTGATTTATTGCACACTTGCATTTGCGTTCCACACCCTGTACTACAGCAACTTTGCAGAGTGCCCTCTCGCACTCTGGGACCCCTCAGGGGATGTCAGAGAGCCGGTTTTGGCCCGATCCCCAATTTTGGCCTGATCCCCCCAGGCCAGGCCGAGGGACCCCACCTGCCAGAGGGACCCCACTCACTCTGCAGACACCAGACCGCAGAAGGTTGGCTCCAGGGTGAGTCTGGCCCCATCTCACCCAGTCCCGCCTTCTAATTAATTTCTTTTCAATGTGCACAAATTCATGCACGGGGTCACTAGTTTTAAACGAAAAGCCAGGAGGGAGACTTGAAGTTGGATTTAAAGCCCTAAAGTTTGAAAGGAAATAAAGAAAATCAGTCTGCTAGTGGAAGTTCATTTATTCCTTTTTTCATGAATAGGAACCCAAGGAGATAAGAACTTCAGGAAGCAGGGATGATCGTTAAATAAGTTGTCCAGGATAAATCATAAAGATTCAAACTGGAAAAAAAAAAAAGATAGTGAAATAATCTCTTTTATAATAAGATGACCTATTAAAAAACAAAATTCAACTGAGTAAATTTAAAAAGTCTTGTTGGCTTAACGCATCAATTCATGAATCCAGCAGCATCCAATCTAGGAGATGAGATAGGAAGGCCCAAGGAGCTGTACAAGAAAAGGCGTTTTGTAGAAGTGAGCAGGAGCAGGGAAGTTACGTGAGGCACTTGCTGATTGGTTAATAACCCTTACATGGAGCAAAGGGACGTCTTGGAGCCCCGTCAGGTAGCTTGTGGGAGCAAGCAGTACTGCTGGGCTGACCTAGGCCCTCCTTTTCTGGGAGAGCTGAGCACAGACATTTCATTCAGTTCAGGTTGGCTGATGCCGGGCTTAGCATGACCCACAGCATCTTGGGTCCAATCCAGTTATTTCACATTTTATAACCTTTGATAGTGTCCAGGGATGAGACCACCGCTCAGAAACTGAAACAAAACTCACAAAGCTGAATTTATTGCTTATTTAAGAGAGTGGACTTGGTTGGTCAGGGACATTCTCTCCAAGCTGATCATATAGAGCAGTGGTTCTCAACCTGTGGGTCGCGACCCCTTTGGGGGTCGAACGACCCTTTCACAGGGGTCACCTAAGACCATCGGAAAACACATATATAATTACATATTGTTTTTGTGATTAATCACTATGCTTTAATTATGTTCAATTTGTAACAATGAAAATACATCCTGCATATCAGATATTTACCTTGCAATTCATAACAGTAGCAAAATTACTGTTATGAAGTAGCAACAAAAATAATTTTATGGTTGGGGGTCGCCACAACATGAGGAACTGTATTAAAGGGTTGCGGCATTAGGAAGGTTGAGAACCACTGATATAGAGGGTTTTAGGATGCTTGGAGCTCAGGGACTGGTGGACCTTCAGAGGAAGCAGGAGTGAGTGACAGCAGCCGCAGGTGGTTATGAAGGTGAGACTGTTTTTGACTGGGTGGCATTTAGGGGTGTGTTTGCTTGTGTGAGTCCCTACCTTGGTGGCTGACTTATAGAGGTGAGTCATGGTTGACCTGCAGAAGTGAGTCAACTCACTGAGGCGAGTTTTGTTCACTTTTTTACTGGAATATTTGCTAAAAGTGTTTCATTTATTTGTTCATGATGTGTCCAACCATCTAACTGCTCTCTGGTTGTCAGAAATTATTGAAAACCAGAGTATATAATTTTTTTTCAGAGTCCATCCTCAGGATACACAAGGCATTTGTGTGGGAAAGTGTATTTTTGTTGTTTTTGTGATATTGTTACTATTAAGCAAAGTGTTTGAAATAGTATAATCACAGAGTACATTATAAATTATTTTAATTCTATTTTTCATTAATTCTGTTCATTGACATTAGCTTGCTCACACACAGAATAATAATTAACTGGAGTGACCAACATTTTATTTTATACTAGCAGTAGAAACTAAAGTGAAAATAGTGCTCATTTTACAGAGAAAATTGATGCCCAGTGAAGTAACTTGCCTTAGGCAAGTGTTAAGATTTTACTATTAACTTAATTAATAGTATTTATTATGTCTTACAATATTCAGTATCTTATATAGAACCAGGTTCAAAAATTACCTTCCTCCAGAATGTTTTCTCTGATTAGCATTTCTAGGTGTTTATATCCTGAATTTTGGTTGCTCTGTGGCTTGTGTTTTGTTTGATGTGACTCACTTTTGACTTTTTATTATTATATTACAGTTCCACACCAGCATCTTGCAGGTGTCAATCCCTTCATTATTACCAGCAGCTAAAGGCTTGGAAACACCTGAGAAAGCAAAATTGCCTCCTAAGTCCGAGACTTCATTTGAGAAGTATGTCATTAATGTCCTAATGTTGCAAATATAAATGTTTGGAAAAGTAGGTCAATCAGAAGCGTTGGTGCTTTGCATTTATTGACAGACACGATTTCTTACCCAGAGAAGCAAGAAACAGTAACACATGCGCCAGGAAACCTTATCAGTTTTGTGTTATTGAAATAACAGGTGTGAAGCCAGAAGTAACTGCAGAGGAGGCTGAGGATGTGCTTTGGGTCAGGTTAGAGAAGGGGGGTCTATGTCCTGGGTCCTGGGTGCCCCTCAAAGGGCTATGAGCAGAATAACAGCAGTCCTGTGCCTGAGACTGAACAATGGCAATGAAGGAGATAGGACAGGGATACAATAGTTTTTGCATAGGCAAATAGGATTTTGGGGGAACATAGTCCCAAATTAATTGCCTAATCTTACAATTAGACAAAATAAAATAAAACACAATGCCAAAAAAAGAGAAATAACTTTACTTGCACAAGTGTTTGTTTTTGACAGTTCTGTTCGAATATATATCATTCATATATCATATCATATGTCATTTCTTCATGAAG